ATTCTTTCTCGCTGTGAGCTACCACAAGATCTTGTATATATTTCCCTGTGCTATACAGTATCATCCTGTTTATCTATTCTACATATGCCTGTCAGTGTAAGTTTTCATTTTTAAAGATCTCTCACACTGTATCCTCACTAAGCATCAGTCAGCAGAAAAAACCATTTAATCTTGGTTAGGCTCCCAGCACTGGGCTCTGTGTCTGGAGACTTGTTGACCATGATTGTGCTGGAGGCTGGTGAGCCTGCGCTGCAGTTACCCTCAGCCCACATACACCCTGAGCCTTGCTCTAGCACCTCTGTCACAGCAGACCCTTGATGAGGTGGGGGAGGAAACATGACCATCATCAGGAAGCCAGAAACAAACATCTCTAACTGGTGGTAGCAAGGGCTCTTCTGCATGAAATTCTGCATTTACAAGGGTACACAGAAAGGTTTCAGCAATGCTTAGAAGAGGCCACAGAGTTTAAAGGTAAATCTGATCATTGTAAATTAATACTGCTGTGGGTTAAGATGATGAAACATGGGCAAGATAATACCCAATCCATCTGGCTGTACTGTTTAATCAGCTATAAATGTAGCAAAACAATGCTAACAATATACTGAGTGTAAGCTGAAAGCATGCTGAATATTTCCTCATCGGGCTGAGATATGAGGGCAGAGTTTTATCTGAGGGTAGGATGTTGTTTCATATTTTGAAGTCAGTTACACGATGACAAGAAATGGAAGACATGTTTGTCAAGTTTCGGATGGAATAGCATTGGAAGGAATTAGCAAGCAACAGATTTGGCAGAGTTGGAGATGCTGGGCAAAATTTATCTGTGATATATAAAATAGATAATGTATTATCTGAGATAATGTAAAATACTACTTTTATATTAAAATATATTCACCTCAAGTATTTATTAAATACTATGCAGGACTTTCTATGGGTGCTACACAAGTTATTCAAGTAAAAAAATATTTTTTTAAAAGCAACTGCTGTTTAACCCTCTGAGATTATTAGCATGAGCAAGTGTGCAGGCTGTGAACTCATCAGACGTATCTCAGGTACTTTGGCAACATTTTAAAGAGGGAAATACATAAGTGATGTATACTTATCAAAGAGAACTTAGGATAATGAAACATATACAATTTCACCAGTTTTCCAATTGTAAAGCAATTGTAATACTGTAAAAGAATCACACCCAGCTCACTGATATTTTACACCAATTCCTATGCATTTATATAGCAATTATACATAGGTATGTTTTACTTAGTGACTGTGTAACCAAGAATTACGTCTTTTTAGAGCAAATAATCTAAATGCATTGAGTGGCTCTTGATATATCAAGTTGCTTTGAAATAAAAACATTTCCCTAAGATAATTGCTAGTTTGTGTTCCTATCCTTCTGCTTTGGACTCTTAGGGTGACTTACACCTGGATTAGTATGTATTCACATACTATAAACTTCCTGAATATTAAGAATTGTTAGAACTTGAAATAGTTCATTCTTTTCTTTCTTTTCTTTTCTCTCTGTCTCTCTGTCTCTCTCTGTCTCTCTGTCTCTCTCTGTCTCTCTCACTCTCTTTCTGCTCCCGGTTAACACTCTGTGTCCTAGTAAACGCCAATAAAATTCACTTTTGGTCAAAGTTTGAAATGAACCAGGAAAATTACTCACTTGGAAAGTAACCCATCAGGTCCCGAAGGTTTTATGAGGTATTTGTCCACTTGCTTGTCAAATAAGTGATACGGTAACTGCAAGCGCTTGGTGACATTATGGAGGTTTAAGGCATACAGAGTTAAATCACCTTCTTTATACCTTGGGCTAAAAGCAAATAGATTAACTCAATAAAAATATGTATCTAATTTAAGCAATTAAGTAGTTGATTACAAACATAATCACGGGCAGTACTGAGTATTCACATCTATACGCTGGACCTTTCTGTATCCTTCCTTTTATGATAATATTAGACCACTGATGTGGTCCTGTTTTGAAAACATGCTAAAGATATTGCTCTTCACAGTACCATCTTCTGGGCTTGAGCACTTTGAGATCTTTGCTCTTTTGCCAGGCTGAGTTGTGAGGAAGCCAGACAGCCCATACATGTTCAAACATAGGAAAGTTAGAAGGAAATTATGTGGGTTCATGTGAATTCAAATTATAAACCATATAAACGGGTTTTTTCCCTAGCCTTATGAAAAGACTAAAACAAGAAAATTAAATCTACTGACACTTTTCAATGGATTTAATCCATCCAAACCATTCCGCACTTCTTCCTAGTGGAGCCCACTCACCAGAAACAGAGTTCCCGCTCACTGGAATTGGAAATAGTGGGTGGCTTTTTTAGCTAGAGTTAGTATTTTAGTATCATTCTATCTGGAAAGACAGATTGAAACCAAGAAGAGAAAAATCTCTGAGATTTAGGAAC